AATTTAAAACTGACTCTTTTTTTTTTTTCTGTAGTCTGAGTTAACTCTTAGAAAACCTTTAAACTCAAATAGCATAGTTTTTCTTTACATGTAGGAAACACTGTACCAAGAACCCAGACTTAATAAACTAATGATTCCAGAACAAGCTTGTTCTTCCCAATTTGTATCTAATTGCAGAATAGCAATAAAACCAAATTATATTATACAGATTAACCCTTTTTTCTTTATAATTCTCCTTTTAAAGGTTTTAATTTTTAATACATCCCAAGGGGCAGTTTTTAGGAATACTAATCACATTGCCTATATTACTGTTAGTTTTTAGTGTCTGTCTGAAAGGGAAAGAGAGAAGCATCTATATGAAATTGGCATAAAGTATGAAGTATTGGTATTGGGGCTGGGAAGGTGGCTCAGTGGTAGAGTGCTTGCCTTGCATGCATGAGGCACTGGGTTCCATTCCTCAGCACCACATAAGCAGAAAAAGCCAGTAGTGGAGCTGTGGCTCAAGTGGTGAGCACTAGCCGTGAGCTGAAGAGCTGAGGGACAGCGCCCAGGCCCAGAGTTCAGGCCCCACAACTGACAGAAAAAAAAGAAAGAAAGAAATGAAATATTGGTATTATAGTGCATTACTTGTGACCTTATTTAAATCACAGCCAATGTCTCTACATGTCAACTTTACTAATAAGTTCTTTACCTTATAAATTTAAAACATACTCATACCATCAGACATTTACTTGAACCTTAAGTGGTTAGACTTATTCATTTCTATATTTTGAAACGAACATTTAAGACAACTCTTACCTCCCAAATGCTTTTCTCAGCTCAAGGAAACTTTCTTTGGTTTTTGGTGTTGTGTTTGTTTCTTTTTGTTGGTCATGGGGCCTGAACTCTGGGCCTGGGTGCTATCTCTGAGCTCTTCAGCTCAAGGCTAGTGCTCTACCACTTGAGCCACACCACCACTTCTGGCTTTTTCTGCTTATATAGTTCAAGAAGAATCAAACCCAGGACCTCATGCATGCAAGGCAAGCACTCTAGCACTGAACCACCATCCCAGAACTGTTTTTTTTACACCATCATAATAGATTTTAAGCAGTAAAATACTAGATTATTTTGAACATTTTCACATACACTTACTTTTATACTTATGTACAAGAGTTTTAAAGCTCAATTAGATTATAAAAATGAAAGTTGGCCATGTGCCTGTTGCTCACACCTGTAATCCTAGCTACTCAGGAGGCTGAGACTGAAGATCCAGGTTCAAAGCCAGCCCATGCAGGGAAGTCCATGAGACTCTTATCTCCAATTAACAACCAGGAAACTGGAATTGGCACAGTGGCTAGCCTTGAGCTGAAGAGAACAGAGACAATGCTCAGCCCAAAGTTCAACCCCTATGACTGACAATGTGTATATATATATATATATATATATATATATATATATATATATATATATATATATATATATATCTGCCATAGATTCTTTTGGAATCCCAATGGCAAAGTGACATTATTTTGTCCAATATGATAAAACTGTGTGGTCAGTATTAGACAGACAACACAAAGCAAACTATAAGGCAAAATACAAACACAACAAATAACACTTTTTACAGCTATTTGAGAACTAGATGACAAAGAACAGAAAATGTTTAGAGAACTTTGTTAGCATGGCATATTAGTATACAAATGTATCTTTGAACATGTCTGAGGCATCTACTCTTAAGGGTCTCTAAAGAAAATTGGGCAAAAAGAGGGAACTCTTCCTAAATCAATTTATAGATGTAAAAGAAGTTTATAGAAGGGTCTGGAAACCCCCATCCTATCCCAAGATGGTTACTTAACTCTTACAAGGCTCAGAATTTGCTAAGAATTCTTACCTTTTGAACAATTTCTTTTTATTTATCCCGTTTGTTTGACATCAAAAACATTTTAAGACGTTTTATGGTGGATCCCATTATGGCTGCAGCAGAGGAGCCAATGTCATTACAGACTTCAATATGATTTGTAACATCACCGTTTGCAGCCTTGATGGAGTGTAAAGCCTTTGAACACTCAATTAGCATTCTTCAATGGTATATATTTGGAGAAGTTAGTCTCTTAACTCAGTTTGCACTTACAGTTTTATGAAGATTATCTTTAACCTGGCTCTGAAATCAACCAAAGGTTCCAGGCCTCCTTGCCTGCTATGTACAGAGGTGATAGCTGTTTATCCTGGCTGAGTTACCTCTTCCCTGTTCTGATTCCTGATCAATCACTTCATTTATGCCCAGTACCTGTAGGATCACTCCCAGTCTTTTAAGCTGGTCCTCTTCAGTTACTATGGGAGGGTAGACACGTTTATTTTTTTTTTTGGTCACTCCTGGGGCTTGAACTCTGGGCCGTGGCACTGCCCCTAGATCTTCAACTCAAGGCTAGCGCTCTACCACTTGAGCCACAACGCTGCTTCTGGTTTTTTCTGCTTATGTGGTCCTGAGGAATTGAACCCAGGGCCTCATGCATGCAAGGCAAGCACCCTACCACTGAGCCACCTTCCCAGCCCCAAGAATGTCTATGGTGGTTTTTTTGTTTGTGTGTTTGTTGTTCTTTTTGTTGATCATGGGGACGTGTTGATTTTTCAAAGCCTGGAAATGAGCTTCCTCATTCACTATATTTCAAATTATAGCTATTGACAGGGCTTTAGGCAGGTTTTGGTCACCTTTTCCCAGTCAAGAGTGGAAGAGAGATCGCCTCTCAGGGGACCCCATCACACCTAAGAGGGTGCAATGACATCACAGCTTAGGTCTAACAGGATCACAGCCCTGGCCCTGGGTGGATATGTGGGTGGATATCACCCCCTTAATGCCCTGTGATTCATTCATGTCCTGTGGGTTCCAGACTGCTGGGTCTGGCATAAAAATGTCAGTAAGAAATGTCAGTATAGGGAATGCATGAAGTGCTATGTTATTCAAGTGTTTGCTAGTCCTGACACTTGAACTCAGGGCCTGGGCACTGTCCCTCAGTTTTTCGCTCAAGGCTCACACTCTACCACCTGAGCCAGAGCTCCACTTCCAGTGCTCTGCCTTGGAACCTCCAGGCCTGCAGCCCCCATTCCCTCCTGCTATCTACAACATAGGGACCATATAGTAGCTCTGTTATTGAAGACCTGTGGCTAACACGGTAGAGCGCCAGGTAATTAAACCCAAATATCCACAGAGAAATGGCTGCATCATCCAAACCAAGTTAAGAGATCAAAATGGAATATTACTCAGTGTTGAAAATGCAGACAACTCAGATCCATGGGAAGCTCATAACACAACACTGGCATTAACAAAAACCTGAGCATTACCTTACTCATGTAACTGTAACCTCTCTGTCCAGTATCTTTACAATAAAATTAAATTTAAAAAAATTAGCACTGGGAAGTTGGCTCAGTGGTAGAGTGCTTGCCTCATATAAGTGACGCCTTGGATTCAATTCGTTACCATCGCATAAACATAAAAAGCCAGAAGTGGCGCTATGGCTCAAGTGGTAGAGTGCAAGCCTTGAGCAAAAGAAGCTCAGGAATAGCACCTTGACCCAGAGTAAAAGCCAAGGACTGAAAGAGAAAAAAAAAAAAAAACAGGCACCAGTGGCACACACCTGTAATCCCAGCTAATCAGGAAGTAAGGATCAAAGTTGGAAGCTAGCCCAGGCAGGAAAGGCCAAAAGACTCTTATATCCAAAGAGCCACCAACAAGACAAGAAGTGGAGCTGTGCCTAAGTGGTTGAGCCCCAGTCTTAAGCACAAAAACACAAGGACAGTGCCCAGGCCCTGAGTTCAAGCCCCAGGAGAAAAAATAAAATGGCTTTTTCCTCCAGAGAGAACATCCCACTTCCCGGGTACAGCCTACACCAGGCACAACCCCAAACAGTTCCCAGTTCAATGCTACCTAGATTTGTTCACTCCTGAATATCATAGACATGGGTTCCTGGCGGCTGGGAAGGTGACTCAGTGGTAGAGTGTCTGCCTCACATTAATGAAGCTCTTGGTTCGATTCCTCAGCAGCACATAAACAGAAAAGGCCGGAAGGGGCACTGTGGCTTAAGTGGTACAACACTTGCCTTGAGCTAAACAACTGAGAGACCCAGGGCCAGTTCAAGGCCCATGACCTACTACAAAAGAAAGAAAGGAAAGAAAGAAGGGAGGGAGGGACGGAGGGAGGGAGGGAGGAGGGAAAGAGAAGGAAGGAAGGAAGGAAGGAAGGAAGGAAGGAAGGAAGGAAGGAAGGAAGGAAGGAAGGAAGGAAGGAAGGAAGGAAGGAAGGAAGGGAAAAAAGAAAGAAAGAAATGGGTTTCTGTGGTGTGAACATACACACACACACACACACACACACCTTAAATGTACAGCTACATACTCAGATATGCACAGTCCCACACTCACACCATCCCCATAAAGTTACAGAAGTATTTACTGTTTCTCAAGTCTGTAAGGTCAGGATAAAGAAAAGAAGTCTGAGAAACTGTCCCTGCATCCAGGGGCCTGAGGAGCCGTGGAGACCCATGACCTGGGGGATCATGGCTGCCATCCTGGAGTGGAGAGAGATCCTAGGGGAAACAGAAGAAATTGGAAGGACAATGCATTGAGGAATCTTGGCTGAGATCTTTGAGTGATATTAGTAGATTGAACTTGGGGTGTTGATCCAGAAGGCCAGCCTTCCCTCTATGCGATTTTTCTGATACCTAAATCTCTTGGCAAAATAAACGATTGGTGCATTTAAAAATATTTTTTAATCCTATACTCTAGCATATTTACTCTTGAATTTCTGGTTTTCTGCCACGAACTGAAGATCAAATGAGCATAGTTCACCCTTTGAATGATTTCACAGTTGCCCAATAAAAATCCCTGGGGACAATCACAGGGTTTTTTTTTTTTTTTATCATCAATTAATCTTAGTTAATGATTGTCTTCACCATCCAGACTCAGCCACCACTTCCACGGTGGCAGTGCCAGTGGCCTGGGACCAAGAGCCAGGCACCCAAGACTCTGCCATGGCTCAGGACTATCTGTGGTACCAGGGCATTCCTTTCCCTCCTACGGATTTCTACCCTGAAGTCATAAAAGCAGCCCATGAGGAGCTGGTGCTGAAGGACGAAGACATCATCACGGTGACCTACCCCAAATCAGGTGAGCAGACAGAGCTGTGGATGCTTGGGAAAGGCCAGAGCTGTGGCCTCATTCCCAATTGTGTCCCACGTAGGAATGGTGTAGTAGCTCATTATTGAAGACCTGTGGCCCTGTGGTTTTGTGCCAGTCTTCACCGCAACAGCTCATGGACAGCGCCTAGGCCCTGTTCAAGCTCCAGGGTTGGCACCACAATTTTTAAATAGGTGTTTTTGAGGTGCTCCATGGTTCATAAAATGAAAAGGATGATTTTGAGGTTACCTGGAGAAAAGGTAAGATCTCAAATAGAAGAATCATGATGGGACATAGTTAGGACCTGGAAAACTTGGGGTAAACACAAGGCACTGGCAGGCCAGGGAGCCTGTGTGAAGGGGCCCGGGGAGTGGGGAGGGAGCACTGAGGGCACACTGCAAGGGAAATGTGCTGAAAACCACAGCCAGTGGGGCATTGCAGGATTTCAGCAACAGCTGACAGCTGCATTGAACCCAAATATCCACAGAGAAATGGCTGCACAATCCCAAACAAGTTGAGAGATCAAAGTGGAATATTATACACTGTTGAAAATGCAGACAGCTCAGGAAAGGATCCATCACATCCTTCCCAGGGGACCAGGGGGAGGCAGGCAGGCACAGGAGAAAGATGATTACAAGGTTTATTAGAGGAGCCATTTCTCCCCCAGAGAGAGAGCTCATGACCACCTCCACTGTCTAGCAGCAGCAGGGGCTGGGGGTAGGAAGTGAGGTAGGTGGGAGCTCAGGTGGGTCTGGGTGGACAGAGGGAGGGGCTAGCTGTATGGCAAGATCTCCAGAGCAGGGAGGAGCTCAGAAATGGGTGGAGCTGAGGACCAAAGGTGAGCATAATGCTTCCTAGTTAGACCCAATGTTCTACTATTATCAGGACATTTTGCCACTTGAAACCACATGAGTCAAGGCCATAGTGCAAAAAAACAAACAAACAAACAAACAAACTGTGTACTATTGCACTAACATACAAGGCCTAGAACTTCCAAAGTCACGCAGATGATAAGAAAATGATGTGGGTAAGAGCAGGTGGCACCAAATCATTATTCTGTTGTCATGGACAGTGTAAACTTATTAGATGACAAAATTCTGGCACTGAGTGAGATATGATTAAAATACACTAAAGACTACTTATCCATATCAGATTGCATGCCTGAAAAGTTTATATCCGTAAGGTCTATGTTACTTATGCTTTACCATTATATATGTGTATGTATGCATGTATGTATGTGTGTATGTATATATATATATATATATATATATAATATTGTGTATTCAGATAGAAATGAGTAATCTCTGCTTTTCTTTCTGCTTCAGGAACCCATTGGGTGATTGAGGTTCTCTCTCTGATTCACAGCAAGGGGGATCCCAACTGGATCCGATCTGTGCCCACATACGTTCGTTCCCCATGGATCGAGACTGCAAGTGGAAACAGATGCACAGTGGAAAGGAAGGAGGGTCCCCCCCTCATCTCCTCCCACCTCCCCATCCAACTCTTCCCCAAGTCTTTCTTCACTTCCAAGGCCAAGGTCAGTGATCAGTACCCAATAACTGTTCCATCAAGGCCTTTTCCTCTTACAAAAGCACATAGCCAGCAGCTCTGGCATTCTCCCTCTGTAGTTCATGGAGGACCCCAGAGTCCCCTACATGAGGTAAGGGTCCTCAGACCAAACAGAGTCCAAGATGTGGACCACGGCTGTGTAATCCCTGACAGATGAACTGGATGACTAACTGAAAGACTAACCAAACAGTGTTTTAAGTGGATACCCAGGCCTCATGCAGTCATCCCAGCTAAACAAGAGGCTGAAATCTGAGGATCAAGATCAGAAGTCAGCCCAGGTAGGAAAAGCCTATCTCTGAGGAGCTATCAAAAATAAAGCCAGAAGTAGAGCAGCAGCTCAATTGGTTAAGCAACAGCTTGAGCACAAAAACACAGGGACAACACCTAGGCCTTGAGTACAACCTCCAGCCATGGAAAAAAGGAAAAAAACTCAGAAAAGAAAAAAGAAAAAGAAAGTTGAGGTTGTGTGGTTTCAGTGTCATATGACCTGGTATCAGTGGTCTGACTCTGAAGGCTGTGCAGTGAATAAACACCTGATGCTCATGGCCAGATCAGACCAGGAGCCTTTGTCCAGCTTCCCCAGCCCAGCCCACACCACACACGATGCACACTCTTCCCTGGTACAATGCTACCTAGATTTGCTCCTGAACACCATAGAAATGGGCGCCTGTGCTGTGAAATCTCTGTTGTTGTATCATTTCAGCTCCCTCCTTCCATGGATTCTTGTTGTTTTGTTTTTGTGCCACTCCTGGGACTTGAACTCACAGCTGTCCCTGAGCTTTTGTGCTCAAAGCTGTTATTCTACCAGTTTGCGCCATAGCTCCCCTTGAGGTTTTCAGGTAGTTAATTGGAGATGGGTGTCTCATAAGCTGTTCTGCCTGGACTAGCTTCAAACTATGATCCTCAGATCTGAGCTGCCTGAGTAGCTGTGGTTACAGGTGAGAGCCACCCATGCCCAGACGTTTCAATGAACAACTCATAAATCTGCAGCCAAGAAAGGCTGACCAGGGTCTGCTCTCCTGTGTTTAGTAGATAAATATCCCCGATATGTTTAGGAAATGCGATGTCCCACCATTGTTTAATCCCTGGCAAAGGGATTGGATTGTAGCAACTCTGAAAAGTATTTCACAAACTAATGCACAACCAAAAGATCAACAGATACTTCAAGGTTGCAACAAAAATGGCTAGAATTTCTCTGAACACCAAGAGTGCAAGAAATGATGGGAATATTGTTTAATTCTCTCCTTTCTCCCTTGAAGATGATCTATGTCATCAGAAATCCTAAGGATGTCCTTATATCTGGTTATTATTTCTGGGGTTCTACAAATCTGGCTAAGAAACCAGAATCATTGGAACAATATTTTGAATGGTTCTTGCAAGGATATGGTGAGTAGACTGTGAAGGGAATGGAGAAGGATTTAAACCTCTTTGAGTGTCCCCTCCCTCCAAGGTCTCCTTTAAATCTCACCGTCTGTGGGTCCAATGCTTCCTCCTCCTAGAACTCACATTGGCTAAAGGCAGCACCAGACTTCTCCCATGATGGAAGGTCCCAAGGTGTTTTGAGCCCCTGGAGCTTCCGTAGCCATGGAGGACCGGCCCCCTCCTGTGTGCTCTACTCCCAGATGTTGGCTCACAGCTTCTCACTGGCTTCCCACACAGCCCAACTCTACCTTCCCTACGTATTTTTATGTTTTAAATTTGTTTGGCTGTCCATGTCAGAGTTTCTCACTTGAAGTTGGGATCGCTCTGTTACTAGTCATGCAAAAGTTCTGGGTCTGGGGCTGGGAAGGTGGCTCAGTGGTAGAGTGCTTGCCTTGCATGCCTGAGGCCCTGGGTTTGATTCCCCAGCACCACAAAAGCACAAAGAAAAAAAGCCGGAGGTGCCGCTATGGCTCAAGGTGTAGAGCGCTAGCCTTGAGCTGAAGAGCTGAGGGACAGTGCCCAGGCCCAGAGTTCAGGCCCCACGACCAGACCTAAAAAAAAAGTTCTGGGTCATTCCTCACGCTTGTAATTTTGTCACTCGTCCATGGTTCTGTCAGGGGTCCATGGCCTGAGTTGGGTATGAAGGGTGGGGGACCCCACATCTGTGCTCTGTGTACCTCATCATCTGGTGTCTCAGGCCCTCTGGGTTTAGCTTCACAACCAGTAGAAGTGCTTGGTGAGCTGTTTCTCCCCTGATTCAACATCTCTTACCACTTGGATCTATAGTCAGGGCTGGTGGTTCTCGCCTATAATCTCAGCTACTCAGGAGCTGAGAGCTGAGGGTCAGAGTTGGAAGCCAACCCAGGCAGAAAGTCCTTAAGGCTCTCATACCCACTCAATCATCATGATGAAGGGAGTGAAGGTGTGGCTCAAGTGGTAGAGAGGAGTGTAGAAACCGAGGGACAGTGCTCTGGCCCTTATTTCAAGCAAAGATGTTTCCAGTAGAATAAAGCACACCAAGGCCTCTGCAGACTGACCTGCTGGGAGCCATGGGCAGGGATGGGAGGTGCCTCGTGTGCGTGTGTCACAGCTCAGACCTTGCACTCTGACTTGTGCTCAGTTGTACAACTGATGGATTTGGGCCAAGCTGGCATGGAAGGCCCTCAGCCTGAGTTCTGTGAGGGCCTGCGGAGCTCGTTGTCCCGGTCAGAGGTTTTGGTCTGGCCTTTTGGGACCTGCTTCAGATGGGGCAAAAGTTGTGCTACAGGAACAAATTGCTTAGAAATCCATGTCCTGGCTCCACAGTGCTTGTGTTTGCTCTCTTTCCCTCTCCCTCCCTCTCTACCCCTTCCTTCCCCCTCTCTCTCAGCCATGGGGCTTGAACTCTGGGCCTGGGTGTTATCCCTCAGCTCTTTAACTCAAGGCGAGCACTCTACCACTTGAGCCACAGTGCCACTTCTAGTTTTTTGGTGGTTCATTGGCAATAAGAGTCTCATAGACTTTCTTGCCCAGGCTGGTTTGAACAGTGATCCTCAAATCTCAGTGTCCTAAGTAGCTAGGATGACAGGCATGAGCCACCAGTACTCAGTAGTGCTCTCTCTTTGAGGCTATAAAGAGACAGGACTTATTTGTCGGTTACACCTTGGTGAAGTTGACAGGGACCAGAGCAATCAGTGCTGAGACAACCCTGCAGATCAGGAATGGTGGAGACTTTTCACGCTGCCCCACTGTTCCCCCTGCAGTGCCTTATGGGTCATGGTTTGATCACGTCCGAGGCTGGATGTCCATGAGGGAAAAGGAGAATGTGCTGGTCCTCAGTTATGAGCAGATGAAAAAGGTAATGATTGATTTTACATGCACCCACCACTGCCCTCTCCACCCCTTCTACCATCTCCCCTGTTTCTCTAGTACCTTCTTCCCCAGTATCCTCCCCCCAAGTCTCCATCCCACCTTCTATGTCAACTTTCCACATCCTGTTGTGTGTTATTCCTTCTTGCACTCCTCTCATCCTCCTTTTCTTTCTTTTTTATTTTTTTATTTTATTTATTTTTTTGAGTCCAGTCATGGGGCCTGAACTCTGGGTCTGGGCGCTGTCCCTCAGCTCTTCAGCTCAAGGCTAGCTCTCTACCACTTGAGCCATAGCACCACTTCTGGCTTTTTTCTTTTTGCTTATGTGGTGCTGAGGAATCGAACCCAGGGCCTCATGCATGCAAGGCAAGCGCTCTACCACTGAGCCACCTTCCCAGCCTTTCTTTTTTATTTTTGTTTCAAGGTGGAGTCTTGAACTCAGTTTTGCTTTTTTTGTTGTTGTTGTTGGTCGTGGGGCTTGAACTCCGGACCTGGGCGCTATCCCTCAGCTCTTCAGCTCAAAGCGAGCGCTCTACCACTTGAGGTACAGCGCCACTTCCAGTTTTCTGGTGGTTTATTGGAGATAGGAGTCTCACGGTCTCTCCTGCCCGGGCTGGCTTTGAACCGCGATCCTCAGATCTCAGCCTCCTGAGTAGCTAGGATTACAGGCGTGAGCCACCAGCGCCCGGCCAGTTTTGCTTTTTGGCTGGTGCTCTACCCACTGAGTCACACCCCCAACTCCACAGGCCAACTATCTTCTCTCCTGCCAGTGCCTTCTGCTGTTTCTCTCTTCTCCTGCTCCCTGGTCCTCACTCCTGCTCTGTTGTCCCCTCTCATACAGGAGCCCTTGTTTTCTCTCCTTAGGACCCAAGGAGCATGGTTGAGAGGATCTGTGGGTTCCTGGGGAAGGTGCTGGAACCAGGAGAGCTGGACTTGGTCCTGGAGAACAGTTCCTTCCAGGCGATGAAGGAGAACAAGATGTCCAACCTCCCTGGTATCCCAGAGGAGCTTGTTCCTGCTGGTTTCAAAATCACCAGGAAAGGTAAGGAAATGTCCCAGGGAAGGAGGTGCTGGAAGCCAGAGAAAGAAATCTGGTCTCCAACCACACACTCCTGGCCAGGGATCAGCCAGGAACAGGCTGGCTGTTCACTTCCAGCTTGTGTTAAAACAAAGTAAACTGGAAGTGGAGCTGGGGTTCAAATGCCAAGCCTTCAGCAAAAGAAGCTCAAGGTCAGTGCCCAGCCCCAGACTTTAACTCCTACAACAGACAAACAAGTAATGTGATAGTATGTGAATCTGAAAAGAAAACAAAGTATAAGTACCAGCTGGGTGTCAATGGCTCAGGCCTGTAATCCTAGCTGCCCAGAAACCTGAGATCTGATTATCACAGTTCAAATCCAGACAGCGTAGCATAGTCCAGGAGATTCCTTCTCTCCAGTTAACTACCAAAAAGACAGAAAATGGAGTTGTGGCTCAAGAAGTAGATCATGAGGCTTGAGCAGAAAATAACTCCCAAATAGCACCTATGCCCTGAGTTCAAACTCCTGTATAGACACACACATGCACACACATGTACACATGTACACACACTAAACTCTATTATATAAAACTCTATTCAACTTCCTATTAAATAAAAATGCTATTGTGTGACTATGAGACCACATCCTGAGCTTCCTGACTCCCACACATCTGGGGAGGATGTGCCCCTCTGGTGGCAGGGGCAGAACTTGAGAGGAGAGCACTGGACATGGAGCGTGGTGGCTGTGGAGTCCATCTCCCAGGGAGATCTGTGGCCTCACCCTCAGGGCAGGCAGAGGGCAGAAGGGACATGAGGGGACAGCGCCTTCCTGCCCTGACCCAGTCTGGTGTCATTGTTTTTCCACGGCCTAGGTATCACGGGGGACTGGAAGAACCACTTCACCCCAGCCCAGACCCAAGCCTTCGAGGCAACATTCCGGGAGAAGATGGCGGGGCTTCCTCCGGAGCTGTTCTCGTGGGACTAAGCCCAGTTTTAGCTCCTTGAGTGTTGGGATGAAGACTTGTGTCCCCATCTTATGAAGGTGACAGGATTGGGCAGAGATCATAGCATTAGTCTGTCACTCTTTGGTGCAATCACCAGAAAGGGTGGCAGCCACATGCAGGTGAGGAGCACAAAGGGACCCGTGTGTGTTCTTGCTGAAATAAATGGGGCCACAGCACCGAGGGCTGAAAAACATGCCTTAGTGTTCTGTTTAGCAACGACGACCTGGGTGAAAGGCTGCGGAGGTCCCTCTGGTGGGGACAGTGGGCTGCCCATGGCAGGAGGCTGCCTGGGGGTTTGCTGGATGTTCTGGGGAAGGGATTTCTTCCTCCGCATTGATCTTGAGTGGAAGCTCTGTCCCAACTTAGGACAACCTGGGATGAGGCCGGAATAAAAACCAGGTCCTCGAACTGAGGTTTGGGGCACCAGGAGCTTGAAGCCTTTTGCCAGCTTCCAGTGCCCAGAGTCCATTTGACAAGGTATTTATTGAGTAGGACACAGGGGCTTACATGTACAACGTGAGATCACCATTTCCCTGACATCACAAGCACCAATACGACAATACAATACTAATCACAAGCACCCATCCTGAGATGTCATCTCCCTCTGGTGATAAATAACTCCTTCATCTTAAGCAGCAGGTGTAAGCAGCAAATGACTTAGAGTTCACATAGATTTTTGTCTATCCCAAAGATCCCAGAAGGTCTGATGTGGAATTAGCCTACACCCAAGAAAGAAATCTGAAGTCCTATCAATCCAGCAGCGATTGATATTTCCAGCGAGCTCTCAGGATTCTAAAAGTTCATGTTCAGTGGAGGCCTTCCATCCTCCCAATCCTTCCAGCTCTCACAGCTCAGCTTTTGGGGGCTCTCAAAATCCCCCCTTTTCCTATGATTTCAGAAAGCATAATTCTTATTTCTGTTTGAGCTAGCATATGCTGCATGCTAGAAATAAACATTTAAATAAACAGGATGCTAGCTGGATAATCCATAAAATAGAGGATCTTGGGCCCAGAAAAGCCAAAAAAAAAAACTGGAAAACTATTCTGGAAGTCCCAGTTATCATTGAATTTTAACTTTTTCAGCTCCTGTTTGAGCTGCTCTAGCTGGTTCTGAATCCTTTGAGAATTGCCAGTTAGATCAAAGCAGCTCAGTCCTTCAAACAGTTCACATCCTAGATGGTTTTTCAACAGCAAACAGTCAGTGGCGGTTCCAATGTGTCAAATTATTGTTCTTCCCTTTTTCATTTCTTCATTGATTGATTGATTTGTTGATTGATTTCTTGATTTATTTATCTGACACTTGGTTGAAAATACAAGGTTTCTGCTGTACTCTTTCTGGACACCTTCTTCAAGTCTAGGGACAGGCAGAATAAAAGATACAACTACAGCCCTATCCACAGTATTTAACAGCATTAAATTATCACAATTTCAAGTGAGATCTTGTCTTATGCATCTCTTATTCTGATGGGTCAAATTACTAAGACAGACAAGCACCATTCTCCGAACATAACAGTCATGGATAATTTGTCTTTAGAGCGCCATATGCCTTTCCTCCACGAAAGAAAGACCAGCCAATGCCGTCTCTTTTTCCTTGAGGCAAACAGAGTCTTGTCAGTGATGAGCAGTTGCTAAGGTCATTTGCATAGCAGAAGCATGAAAATTCACAGTGAACTATTAATTCAAGGTCCAAATTAATTCATTCTCTCAACTCTCATCTTCTTGACGACTAATTTCATCCTGAGTTATATTTTTACCTCTTTTCAACTGCCAGCATGTCCTACTAAACTGTATATTGGCACATTTTGCACAGAAGAGCCTTCTTTGATACAAAAGGAAGTTTCATTCATGGTCTTTTTTTTTTTTTTTGGTTGGTCGTAGGCTTGAACTTTGGGCCTGGGGGCTGTCCCCGAGCTCTTTAGTTCAAAACTAGCGCTCTATGACTTGAACCACACCACCACTTCCAGTTTTCACCACTTCCTGCCTGGGTTGGCTTTGAACTGCTATCCTCAGATCTCAACCTCCTGAGTAGCCAGGATGACAGGCATGAACCACTGACACCCGGCCTGACTAAATATTTTAACTCCGTCTTTACATCAGTGGACAGGTCCGATATCTGCGTTGTTACATATCAAAGTACAATTTAAGTGCAACAGTTTACCCAGCATAGGAATCCCCCAAACAGAGGCTTATACTGAGCAGGGGGCACCAGCAGTCTGAATAAGCATCATTATAAACAACCACGACGACGATGCATTCACTTCCGGTCCCTTGTCCTTTTGGTATCTCTCAGCTTCTAGAGAAAGCTTCTGCACTGGTCCCCAGGTGTGAAGAGTCGCTGTTTCTCTTTCTCCCCGAGCCGTTAGATATCCTCATGCTCTTGAAGGTTTTCTTCATAGGTTCCTGGAGGTTGGATGCATTTTCTCTTTATTTCTGGGTTTTCATTTCAGGGTAGGTAGACAGATGTCCTCTGAGCCTGTGCACCCACAGGAATAACCACCACCCCATACTTTGACAGTTCCGGGTATCTAGTTATTACCAATGTCATCCTTTCAGCGTATAGGTTGAGGTGAAGATAGCAATTTTTGGGGGGTGGGGTCCGGTCGTGGGGCCTGAACTGTGGGCCTGGGCGCTGTCCCTCAGCTCTTCAGCTCAAGGCTAGCGCTCTACCACTTGAGCCATAGCGCCACTTCTGGCCTTTTTCTTTTTTCTTATGTGGTGCTGAGAAATCGAACCCAGAGCCCCAGGCATGCAAGGCAAGCGCTCTACCACTGAGCCACCTTCCCAGCCGAAGAAGATAGCAATTTTTTCAGGTCTTTCCAAAGTTTATCTGCTGCTGAAGTATTGGATGGAAAAAGTAAATTTTCAAAATTAAGGGTATAGAATGCCATTGCTATCCGTTCTTTTGGGCTCGAGTAACCTACACCTATCTCCTCCCCCCACCTTTTATTTGTCAGTCGTGGAGCATGAATTCATGGCCTGGGCGCTGCTCCTGGGCTCAAAGCTAGTGCTCTATCACTTGAGCTACAGCGCCACATCCAGCTTTTTCTGAGTAGTTTATAGAAAATAAGACTCTCACAGACTATCCTGCACAAGGATGGCTTTGAACTGTGATCCTCAGATCTCAGCCTCTTGAGTAGCTAGGATTACAGGTGTGAACCACCAGTTCCCACTTGAAGTGAATGTTAAGTAGTCCTAATTTTCCCTTTTCACTTTGAAACAAATAGTTTGGATAACTTTTCTTTCAATCCTCTTTTAGGCCACTCCCATTGTTAATTTGAATTTAAGTTAACCCTTTTGAAACCAAGAACCACTGGGAAACAACCATTTATCTTCTGGCCATCTGGAATTTAAAGCTGACACTTTTTTTTTTCTGTAGTCTGAGTTAACTCTTAGAAAACCTTTGAACTCAAATAGCATAGTTTTTCTTTACATGTAGGAATCACTGTACCAAGAACCCAGACTTAATAAACTAAGAATCTCAGAACAAGCTTGTTCTTCCCAATTTGTATCGAATTGCAGAATAGCATTGAAACCAAATTACATTATACAGATTAACCCTTTTTCTTTTTAATTCTTCTTTTTAAAGTTTTAATTTTTAATACATCCCAAGGGGCAGTTTTTAGGAATACTAATCACATTGCCTATATTACTGTTAGTTTTTAGTGTCTGTCTGAAAGGGAAAGAGAGAATCATCTACATGAAATTGGCATATAGTATGAAATATTTCTATTATAGTGCATTACTTTTAACCTTATTTAAATCACAACCAATGTGGCTACATGTCAACTTTACTAATAAGTTCTTTATCTTACAGATTTAAGACATACTCATACCATCAGACATTTGCTTGAACCATAAGTGGTTAGTCTTATTCATTTCTATATTTTGAAACAAACATTTAAGATAAGTCTTACCTCACAAATGCTTTTCTCAGCTCAAGGAAACTTGTTTTGGTTTTTGTTGTTGTGTTTGTTTGTTTTTGTTGGTCATGGGGCCTGAACTCTGGGCCTGAGTACTATCTCTGAGCTCTTCAGCTCAAGGCTAGTGTTCTACCACTTGAGCCACACCACCACTTCTGACTTTTTCTGCTTATATGGTGCACAGGAATCAAACCCAGGACCTCATGCATGCAAGGCAAGCACTCTAGCACTAAACCACCTTCCCAGAACTGTTTTTTTTACACCATCATGACAGATTTTAAGCAGTAAAATACTAGATTATTTTGAACATTTTCACATACACTTACACTCATACTTATGTACAAGAGTTTTAAAGCTGAATTAGATTATAAAATTGAAAGTTGTCCAGGTACCTGTGGCTCACACCTGTCATCCTAGCTACTCAGGAGGCTGAGACTGAAGATCCAGGTTCAAAGCCAGGCCAGGCAGGAAAGTCAATAAGACTCTTATCTCCAATTAACAACCAGAAAACTGGAAGGGGCACAGTGGCTAGCCGTGAGCTGAAGAGAACAAGGACAATGCTCAGGCCCAAAGTTCAAGCCGTATGACTGAATAAATGTGTGTGTGTGTGTGTGTGTGTGTGAGTGTGTGTGTGTGTGTGTGTGTGTGTGTGTGTGTGCATATATATATTTATATATGTATATATCAGCCATAGACTGTTTTGGAATTCCAATGGCAAAGTGACATTTTTTTGTCCAATATGATAAAATTGTGTGGTCAATATTAGACAGACAACACAAAGCAAACTATGAGACAAAATACACACACAACAAACAACATTTTTCACAGCTATTTGAGAACTAGATGACAAAGAACAGAAAATGTTTAGACAACTTTGTTAGCAAGGCATATTAGTATACAAATGGATCTTTGAACATGTCTGAGGCTTCTAGTCTTCAGGGTCTGTAAAGAAAATTGGGCAAATAGAGGGACCTCTTCCTAAATCAATTTATAGATGTAAGAGAAGTTTATAGAAGAGTCTGGCAACCCCCATCCTACCACAAGAGAGTTATTTAACTTGTA